GCCTGGGTTGCTGTTAAGGAACTTAAATTAAGTTACCATAATGGGTATATATAGTAAGTAATAAGGTTTCCCCAATATAGTAGCTTAATTTAAGTTCCTTAACAGCAACCCAGAAGCAGAAGCAGCTGTTGGATTAGCCATTTTGGTGCAAGGCACACAAGGAAGGAGGCTGTCTAAGACCCAAAGGCCCAATCATTTCCCCTTCGCAGCAATGGCTGTCATGATGCGACGCATGGGCTCCGCCATGTCCCCGAAGCCGTTGGATCAATTTAGGGTTTAGGGTTTAGGGGTTTAGGGTTTAGGGTTTAGTTGTTCGGGATCCTTTATAAATGGGGGATCTAGTGGTTATCTAGGGGATATATAGGGATCCTTGAAAGGGATGATGTAGGGGTTATAGCGGGTTATATATAAGGGATAAACAGGGATCATGGAAAATTAAATGGAAACTACTGTTGAGGGTCAATGTTAGGGATCCTTTATAAAGGGGCCATCTAGGGGTTATAATGGGTCATATAGAGGATATTTAGGGATAATGGAAAACAAAATGGAAACTACTATTTAGAATTTAGGTTTAATGTTAGGGATCCTTCTTATTCTTACTTTTTGGGGCATTGGATTGCTGATGTGGGTTGTTCTAAAAATTAGGGCCCCTGTTGGTTGTAGATTCTATTCCGGCGCCTACTCTTTAGCAGTACCAAACTGGGACCATAATTTTGGGAGCTACCCATAGGTCTATGTAAAAAGGATCCTTTGTCTTCCCAGCATAATGTGAGCTGTAGTCTAAACTCCTTAAAGGGGGTTATATAGGGGATTATGTAGGGGACTACTATAGGGGTTATTCAGGGGGATACTAGGAGTTTAGGCAGTAGCTCATGTGGGCTAAGGCTGGGCGTGACTTTCAGAGCTACCAGCTTGCCTCGGCATTTCTCCTCATTGCAGAGCAAGGTGGGGAGTTGACCCTTCGTATGACTTTTGTTACGGTATTTAGGGGTTATCTAGGGGTTATATAGGCATTATATGGGGTTATATTGGGGTTATTTTGGGAAAATGGACAAGAAAATGGAAACTACTATTTGGGGTTTAGGGTTTAAGGGCTATAGTCCCCCTTAAGTAGATAGAATATGGCTTTGGGTATGTTATCGTAAGATCCCCATGTACCCCCTGTTCTATCTACTTAGGGGGACTATAGTATTACTACTCTTATGCTATTATCTGCATGATGATTGTGCCGCTATTACTACAGCCAAGTTTACGACGTTATTATGTGTTACTAGAAGTGGTCGCCGAGTCATGACAACTAATCTTGCTATTAGCTTGCTCGTTATTATTGTGATCTTGCAGTGCCGCTGCATTCGTGACATGGGGCGCAGCGCGCGCTTGGAAACCCTAAACAACTTGTATAATTCATGTACAATCTCGATGTAGCCCTGAGGGCTGCTAGTACCGACTACAAGTGTGCATATTTCGGGAGACTTCTCGTGACACTCGGGCAGGTGGACGATTTTTGCAAGCACGTGGAGCTGCACCTTCCCAAGGACGGAAAGAAGGCCGGCTATGCCCAAAATCACGGCCCCTTTGGGGTTTCAATGATAGGACACCCGGGGCTTTCCAAATTTTGATGAATATGCTTGAGAGAAGAAGGGGCAGATAGCCAGGTGGTGTTCGCAACGGCCTGGCTTGCCACTGACAACGTGTTCGTCGCCCTCATGCGGAAGCACTTCCCTGAGATTTTGACAGGCATGAACCTCGTTGCTATTGACACCCTGCACCTCTTCCCCACCACCCTGGAGTGTGCCAGGCTGGTGGAAGAAAAGTATGCCAAGCAGGCCATGTGGAAGCTGCCCAAGGGAATCACCACCAAGGACGAGTTCATTGCCAAGTATGGGGACTGTGAGGAGCTGGATTCCGCCGACTTCGACTTTGTGAGCAAGGTGGAGCCTTTCCAGCGTGCCTTGGAGGAGTGCGAGAAGGACATCCTGATCACAGGAAGACGGATGGATCAGGCTGCGCAGCGCATCAAGCTGGATGTCTGGGAGGATCAGAAGCGCACCTTGAACCCCATGGCCAACTTCAGCTGGCAGGACATCATTGACTATGTGGACAAGGAGGGTGTGCCAGTGAATGCTGGCCACAACTGGGCCTTCCGATGCGATGCACCCATCGAGGCAACCAGCCGCCATCTCCCAGACCTTCCATGGACCAAGGTCGACCTGGGAAAGCCTTTCTGGCGCTGCACGGATGCGGAGATCAAGGGCAGCCCGCCTGCAGCTGTCACCTACGTCTTCAAGTCCTTCGGCGACATGCACACCACCGTGCCTGTGGAGCCCCACGAGTCCGAGCGTGCCGGCCGCTTTGTCCGCCAGGCCAAGACGGAGTGCGGCATCCACACCCGAACTACCTTTGCAGGCGCACCGCATGGTGGATCCCTGGTGGACCTGATGGTAAAGGATCCTGCTGACATCAAAAGCCTCACGGCCAGTGCTGTGAAGAGCATTGAGCTCAACGAGCGCCAGGCCTGCGATGTCTTCTGCCTGCTCAGTGGCGCCTTCAGCCCCCTGACCGGCTTCATGGAGGAGAACGCCTACAACTCAGTCGTGAAGGATATGCGCCTGCCAGAGAAGCAGCTCTTTGGCCTGCCTGTGACCTTCGACCTCCCCGAAGTTGATTTCAAGAAAGGAGACAAGTTGCTGCTGAAGTGGAAGGGAGCGGACGTTGCGGTGCTTGAGGCGTCCTCCATCTGGAAGCCCAACAAGGTGGTGGAAGCCAAGGAGTGCTACGGCACCAGCAGTTTGGAGCACCCCACGGTGGCATCTTTGGTTCAGGAGATTGGGAAGTACTACATCGGTGGCAGGATCCATGGATTTGAGCTGCCCAAGTTCGGCTACACCACGCAGACTCCCGCAGAGGTGCGAGCCACGCTGCCAGAGAACAAGCAGGTGGTCGCCTTTCAGAACCGAAACCCCATCCACCGTGCGCACTTCGAGCGCTTGGGCCTGCAAATGCGTGCTTAAGTTTTGGGAGCCCTGAACACAACCCTGTCATCCATTAAGCTACAGCGATTGGGATAACCTTTTTAAGCAGAGGCTCCTGATTTGCGCGCAGAAGGACGTGAAGGATTCCGTGCTCCTGGTGCACCCTACCTGTGGCCCGACTCAGCCAGGTGACATTGATGGCCTGGTGCGCATCCAGACCTATGAGGCGCTGAAGACGGAGACCGAGAAGGAGTACCCCATGTTCAGGTGGGCCTACCTGCCTTACAGCATGAAGATGGCAGGCCCTCGCGAGGCTATCCAGCACATGATCATCCGGAAGAACTATGGTGCCACCCACTTCATCATCGGACGCGACATGGCCGGCACCAAGAGCACCATTGACGGAGAGGACTTCTACGGACCCTACGACGCACAGGAGACAGGCAAGAAGTACTCTGCGGAGCTCGGCGTGACTGTGACTCACTATGAGAACATGGTCTATGTTGGCCCAGAGGAGGGCTATGTGCAGGAGAGCATTGCCAAGAGCAAAGGCTACAAGGTGGTGAAGCTCTCTGGCACGGAGTTCCGCAGGCGTCTCCGCGCCGGTGAGGACATCCCCGAGTGGTTCGCCTTCAAGTCTGTGGTGGATATCCTCCGCAAGGCTGGTGACAGCGCCTTCTGTGCCTAAAGTAATCGTCTAAGCAACCTCTACTGCACACGTTCTTAACGCTGTGCCTAATCCTGCTTGAGCTGGTGCATGGTGTCGGAAGACATCACAGGATTGTAGTAGCATTAGAACAACTGTGAATGGGTAAAAAGCTCGAAGGACAGTCTTTTGAACCATGCCCAGTATCTGCACAAACGTGTCTCTTCAGAGCGCGGCAAGCATGATGGCCTCTTGCCCTCTGTGCCCCAAGGAGCCCAGATGGTCTGGGGACCGCATACAGCGTCTAGGACCTATAGGTTTAGAAACGAGAGCGCAGCTCTGCACTTCAGAAAGCTTTTTTGCCACATCAGGCATGTCTAGCAGTTCAATTTGAAAAAGTTTGAAAATGCTTCAGCCTCAGCAAGACCTGCAGTCAGCTGTGCTCAAGAGTCTCAGTCACTCAAATGCCGCAGAGCTTGACTTGTAACCTTTATAGCCGCAATGCTTTCCCCAGTACATCGTCACTCACACAGGCAGCGAAAAGCCGATGTTGTTCTGGATCTCGAGGCATTCTGCAGGCACCGGTTTTACCTTCTCCCGCATTTGGCGTTTGGCCCATCTAGCGCTTGGCATAAGCCAACCCAATCCCGATGAACCGCGAGAAAAACAAAAAGAGCCGCTCGTGAGTGGTCTGCAGCCCCATGTGGATTCTTGTGTTTCTTCTACTTCCTTGGTAATCTAATAGGTTAATATGGCGGTAGTTGCGATTATCTCTCGGGCAGTCAGTGTTGATAAGTTTATGCTGCTGCCCCTGTGGGATCAGGACCATGACTTTTGTTCGGGTCCTCCAAAGCACAAGCAAGGGATCGTCAAGGGCTTTTAAAGCCCCTTTCGAGATCGGACAAGTTTCTTGGTCTTAGCATTAGCTCTTTAGAGCTAGGTTTGGCGTATTTGGACGAACCTTTGAGGATGAATTATGGGAGCCCCTACGGCAAGCTAAGCCTAGACTGAGCGCGAAATCGGCTCTCCATAAGGTTGTCTGTGGAGAGGGAGGCTGACTGGGGGACGGGCTTTCTGAGTACCAAGAGACCCTTTTCTGGAGTCTCTCTTGTAGTTCTAAGTCGCAGGAAAAGCAGCCAGCCAGGCAACAACAACCTGGTCGAGGAACATGCAGCTCGACTGCGACTTCAACATCGTATCGACACGCAAAGGCCCCGTCACACATCTGGTTAATTGAGACCAGGGACATAGCAAGGGTATGGGGCTGAAGGTTTGTGAGCTAAGGGTTGCAGGTTCAGAGTTTGGGTAGAGCAGCGTTTTGGTTTTGGCAATAGGTTCAGAGTTTGGGTAGAGCAGCGTTTTGGTTTTGGCAATAATGTTTAGGTAACAAGTGTACATTGGGCAGCCAGGACATCGAGGGGTAAGCTTCCGTCTAACCTTGGGGGGAGGGCAAGACGGCTTTCAATTGCCCCTGGGCAGAGGTTGATGCGAAGTTGCGCCTCAGCTCACATCTGACTCCCAAACTCTAGACCCTATACATTAAGAGGACCCCCCACCCTGTAATAGTGGTATAATAGGAATATAAGAGGACCCTACTATAATCCTTACTATCCCTCATAGTCACTATTACTGGGTGGGGGGTCCACTTAACCTATACATCTTATACCCCAACTTATACCCATACTGAGGACTGAAGACGTCCCTAACCAACAAAGCATAATTCTTGCTGATGCTGAATGCGACTGACGGCTCCCTGGCGCTTCGTAGAAACTTACAGAACTGATCACATTCTTCCTGCAAAATCATCATCATTGGATCCTGTCTATTCACCCTAAACCTCAACCCTAAATAGTAGTTTCCGCTTTCTTTTCCATTATCCCTAATGTAACCCCAATACATACCCTATTATGATATGGGTGGTTGTCAAAATTATGGTCCCTTTTTGGGTCCCTATTATAATACGGCACCTAATATATAGGGTACCCAAAAAGGGACCATAATTTTGACAACCACCCATATAGCTTGAACCTCCAAGTAGCGAGTATCATTGGTTCGTTGACTCACGTGACCACAAGCTTCATTATA